TAATATCTAGTATTTCAGTGACCTTGTCTGTCCTTAAACTTCCTCAAGTAACCAAAGTGATTTGGTAGCAAACATTAAGCGTCAGAAGGAAAAAAAACAGTTGCTCAGCATGTTGTCTATGTTTGATTAATTTCAACAGATTATTGATTGATTACACTGGGTTACAAAAAATACTTTTTTGAAGGTGTCTAGGATTTTTTAAAAACTGATTTAGGACATTTTTGAAACGCTGAATCCAAAAAATGACATCTGCTTTTCTGTATCAGGTTACGTTTTTATGCCAATTCGATTAAAAAAAAAATCGATTTTACCACTAAATCGATTACATTTTTTGACATGAGCGATTGATTTATTTTCGTATTTCTCATATGAAATCGGATTTTAAAATGTCACTTTCTAATCCTTTTCATAAGCTAAATGATACACAAGTTGATGAGCGTAAACATTTGTAAAGGTAAATACAAGTAAATTGCATATTTCATCAAATCAGACTTTTGACCTCATTGAACAAAACTAATGTAACATTTGGATTCAGCACATTGCAGTTGTCCAAAAACAGCTCAAAAAACGTTGACACCAAAATCAGTGTCGACCAGTGTTATCTTCACTGACTGTAGGTTAAGAGAGCTGCTTAAACTTTGCTTCAGAAGGGAAAATGTAATTGCAGCAAGGGATCTGTGATGATGAGCTGACATTTCAATGTAGTAGCTGATAAAATGTCTGTTTTTCAAAATCTATTATTATTTTGAACTGCATGATCTATTAAATTGGTTTCGGTCCCTCATCTTTTTCTTTTTTCCTTTTTTGGCGTCATTGTTAACCTGATATTCTGCCAATGAAGCGTATTGGATTAAACTGAAATCAAAGTCCAGTTAACCCTCTGACCTCTGGATCACAGGCGGCATTTTCCACATCTGGAGCTTAAACTAAAAGTAAAATATATTAAATGTGACCTAGAAACAATTAAAAATGCTCCTCACAACTTTATGCTGTCGTGTAATTATGTGTAAGTCGCCTTTATTGTTTCTGTGGATTTTGAAAATCACAAATATAAAAGTATCCATCGCTCATTTTCCTAAGCTGAAAAACTATATCCAACGGACTATTTTCTTTTTTTGTAGTTGTAAAATTAGGCAGTTGAAGCCAGTAAATGTTCAGGGTTTTGTTGTTTTAAGCAAATGCTTATTAATAAAACAGCAATAACATGCAGAAAGAGGAAAGCAGCTCATTATGAGGACGACACCGACCACGACAAAGACAAAGTGACAGATTCAAAAAACCTTTTTATTAGAACAATACAGCAGATATAAAGGTCTATTGCAATCAAACACTCCCATCAGAACGGAACGTGTGCTTCAACAGACAATATGCGCCCCCCCAGGAGAAATAAATTATCATAAACTAGATAAAACAGAAAAATGAGCAAAAGAAAAAGAAAAAAAAAAAAGACAGACAGTGAAAATAAGATCTTTTTCTTCTTCTAAGCAAAGCAAAGAAGATCAATCAAACCTAAATTTCAAAACAATCATAGAAATACAAGCTGAGAATATAGTCTTTATATGTTTTAAGTGTTTTCATTGTGCAGGTGTAAGATTTTGGTATTGCCAGAAAACAGAAATGCAAAAAGTTCACCTTGTATTAACCTCTCAGTATCTGAGACTATTCACGAGCCCTTGAAGTAGATGGAACTTTTTCAGAACGTTGTCAGATTGTTTGAGGAACTTCATGTTGTTGTTTTTGCTTTTTTTTTTTTCTAGGTGAAAGAGACTTCCTGCCCTTCCCTCACCTCACCTGATGATCTCTGGCTGAGCAAACACACAAACCAATGAAAGAGAAAAAAAATTAAAGCTCGAAAATATAATGGTAACAGCAGTGGATAAATAAAAATACAACTCAATCAAAAAGAAAACAATATATAGACTTCTCGACAGGTTAAACTTGTTCTGTGTGGAGGTGAATCTCACCGAGAGTCACAGCAGAGGAGGAGGACTAAAGTGAACTGCATCTGCACCAACGTGATACATCGACTCCGGGGCCTCGTTAATAAAAAAATATCGTAGCTATCCTTGATGTGTTTCAATAAATCATTTAAGGGCACGTTATAGAAAAAATAAACTGGCGGAAATTAGCTTTTATCTTTTAGATACATCAGACAATTTACAGTAAAATAAAGGAAACCGCTACATATCTTGGATCGTTTTCGTAGTTTTTTCCATTTTGGTTAAGCACAAATCTAATTGGAGAATCGCTGCTCTGACTCAAACGCGAGGCCGCTGATTGGACAGTAACTGCCGTCTGTCGAGGTTTTTTTTGTACACCAGAAAAGCGACTCTTTGAGTTGTCACTTCCCGCCGACACTGCAGGAAAAAAACCAGGGAGTTTCAAAGCTTGTTAAAATTCAGATGTTGTGCCTTTAGTTTCTTCACGACTTCCTCCTGCTGTCCTCACATTTACAGACGACATAAAGTTGTTTGAAGCGCCAACTGTTTTCTCCACAGCGAGTGCAGATAGAACCCCTCTCCTCCTCATCTGTCCATTGATTTATCACCAAACATCATCTTTCCATCATTTATATCATTTTTTTTCTTATTTTTTTTATATATATTTAATACAAATCTATAACCCAAAATTTAGAAATCTTATTTACATGGAAAAGCTTTTTTTTGTGTGTTTTTCTTTTTAACTTTTAAAAGTGACTATTAACCCCTCGCCCGCCCCGTTTCCCCACGTCTCCCCTCGCAAACTCTCACACCGAGGAATTTTCCACTCACATTTTTTCATATCTAAATGCTCTAAAAAGTGACTTGAAAAACAGCATTCGACACAAAAAAAACCACCCCAAAATGTTTTTTTTTTTAAAGCCACAATTATGCTTCCTCTTGAACTCAAACCATTAATTCTAGAATAAAACGTAGAATTACTGAAGGGAGGTTCTGGATGTGTCGCCTCCTCCCCATCGACAGGAGGAACGTCCAAGAGAGAGTCTCACAAACTGCTTTATAAAACACGCTGTCTCAGAAGTGGTTTTATAATCGAAGCAACAGAGCCAGAGGAGGTGGGGATGGACAGACGGACAGACGAAAGGGACAGAAAGAGAACACAAACCCTTTGTCAGTCGGGTTTAATAGCGCCCCCTGGGAGGCCATCCTGTGTACTACGCACACAGACACACGGCGGGACGAAGCCACTTCGGTTTTCAGTTTGGGGGGGGAGGAGGTGGAGAGCATGGTGTGTGTTTAAGGAGCGAGTGTGATTCTGTGCATATTATTAGAACCAGTGCCTCCCCGAAAACATGTGTGTCAGTGAATGAGCGGGTCAGTGTTAGCGTTAGAGGGTGCCGTCCTCGGCGCAGCCAGCTCCGGCCGTGTAGCGGAACTCCTGCAGGTTGGAGACGCCGTGGAAGTGAACGAAGGCCCCGGCCACCACCAAGATGTGGAACAACTGGTGGGAGTGGAACTACGACAGAGAGACAAGGACGTAGTGAGTAACGTGTGATAGAGAAACACAAAGAGAGAATGTAAAGGGTGATAGACAATCAGAGCACTCACCCAGATGTCACATTTTCCAGGGAAGAACCTCTCGGGGATGCGAGCGGCGTAGAGACAGGCTCCGGTGATGTAGAGCGTCGCCATGAGCAGCAGCCAGCCCATCTGACCGATGGTGGTGGCTTTGATCAGACCCTCGCTGATGACGAAGTGCAGTGTGGGAACAACACCGCTCAGGCCCAGACCCACAAACACGCCTGAACAGACAGAGGGCAGGTCAGAAAACCAAGCAGAGCAAAGCATGTACAGCCGTCCTCAATTCCTTCCATTAAAGAAAAGGCAGAATTCACAACAGTCACTAAAGAACTAGAAACTGAAAAAAGTAATAATAAATAAAAAATTGCTAAATTACAATTTAGTGAAATAAGACATCGCTTTTGAATTGTGGTTGAAAAGAATAATTTAAAAAACAAAACTGTCCCAGACAAATGAGAGCACTTTGCTGATGAGCAGTGGACCAGAATCAAAAGCTCACAGATGCAATATTGTGACGTTCCTCAGCTCTTATGGTGAATTTATTCACTAACAGTTGCTCATATACAGATCTAGAGGACGCAAAGTGACATTATTCAGCTCTGCTTTGCACTTCAGCAACTCCTGAAGGAAATAAACGGTTCTTTAAATGGTTCACAATGTTCGTCTGCCTCCTGTTTAATGTTGGGCATCTAGCGTCGCGTCTGGAGCGAAGACGTGTGGAAACAGCGCCGATCAGAGCGGCGACGCTGAACCGAAGCAGTAACTTTGTGGGCCATAAACACCAGCGTGATGGTTCTCTGTGGATTCATCACTGTGACTGACCTCCTTCCCCGATATTAAATATTGATCAGAGCAGCTTTAACCCTCTGAACTCCAAGCAGTTTCTGGACATTTTTTTTTACTGGTGTCACATTTTCAGTCACTCTGAGCTCATTTTCACTGCAACATGAAGTCCTTATTGGAGCAAAGAGACACGTAGAATAACATGATTTTAATGAAATATCGAGAGTTAAAGCGCAGATTTGCTTCAGTTTTCTGATGGATCAGTGTGTCATAGATGAGTCAAAAAGTTTTAAATCTATGGATAAGGTTTTTTGTTTGGTTTACAGTTTATAACTCTGATAAATGGTGTCATTGTGTCTATTTTTTTTTTTTTTTAAAGATAACGTGCTGAGAACAGAACCTTCAAAACTTTCCACTCTACCTGCTCGGACTCCTCTGTACTGCGGCGTGGCGAAGAAGTCGCACTGGGACACGGTGATGGCGGCCAGTCCCAGTATACACACCACTATCAGGTAGATGAAGCAGGGCTGAGGGGAGCAGTAGAAGGAGTAATACAACCAGGGCACGAAGGAGCCCATGATCAGGAAGGCGATGCCGCTGTAGTCCAACCTAGAGAGAAACAGCAGATGATCGGGTTGCACAACACAGCTAACGGCCTCCTGGCTTTGTTAGTTTAGCTTTAAGGATATTTCCCACTGCTGGATGATGACTTACTTGGAGAAGACTCTGGACACGCCCTCAGAGTGGCAGTAGACTGTGTGAAAGAGCCAGGAGAAGGAGAGGCAGAGGATGGCTCCCAGGAAAAACATCCCGATCACCACCTTCTCCTGGACCGGAGCCACGAAAGACATGTTGGGTCTGAACATGTACATCAGACCGAGACAGAGGAAAAACAGACATCCTGGAAACAGTGACAGAGGCAGAAGGAGAAACAAGAAGACAGGGTGAGAAACATTTGAGTGTTTAATAGCAAAGGCAAACAACTGCAAACACGTCTCAACCAGATTCATAGAAACTTCCAGCTTGTTTCCAGCTGTTGCTACAGAATGTGAAGCTCTCAGGTACAGCAGGGAGATGCATTCATTTCATATAGTTCATCAAACAAAGCTCACTTAAACAAGTCAAACACTCCTAATAATAATAATCACAATATCTCTGTCAAACCACAGCAACACTGAGCTGCACTACCTCTCTCACACCACTAGGTGGAAGCAGTGAGACAAAAAAGTTGTTTACAATCCAGGAGAGCTGATTGGGCTGAGGGCAGGTACAGAAATAAAAACTGAGTCTCAAATGGGACGGAAACCAAAGTTCTCATAATCCAACTAATTCCAAGTCGCAAACCCAAAATCAAAAAACTAATGTTGTGGATTTGCTTTGTTTACAAAAAGCAGCAGCTGAACTTTCGACACAAGACTTCTTACATAAAGGTAATGAGCCTGCCAGTGTAGGAGTTTTGTTACCTAACAAGTCTGGTTAAATATGAAGATTAACTCCAGGATAAAAGAAGCGAGTGAAGTAATACATTACAGAAATACACACAGATAAACAAAGAACAACATACTAGTCTTGTAACTTTAAATATCCAAGATCTGAGTCCTAATCCTGCTGTAAAGCGAGGTGTGTGTGTTCTGCTACATCTGTCATTTCATCTCCTGACTTCTTACAGAGACAACTTCAGGATTAGGATTTAAGGGGATATTATGCTCAAAGATTTAGGTTAGAAACATAAACAGAAACTGTCCAGAGACCCTCATGTTCACACTTCCCACGTTGGAGGCAAACCAGATAATAAGGTCTAATGTGTGACCCTGCTGACGTGTGGAAGGGAAACTGATTGAACGAGATCTAAAGAATCTATAAAGGTTCAGTCACCATCGGCTTCGAAGGGCACTGGATGTGAAAATCGATTAAAATCAAATGATTTTTTTAAATAAATGGCCATAAATGATACAAGATCAGAGAAATCATGAATCAAATCACTGTCACTTTCAGGAGGTTTATGCACAAAAGCACACAGGACAGCATTAATCATTACAAGGTGCACCTTTGTTATGTTTTTGTAAAAACCATTCTCTACTCTACCAATGCAAGAAGCTGCACTGTGGAGGTCAGAGGTCACAGAGTGAGGAAAGATCAACAGCATCTCAGTTACAACTAAAAAGTCCAGCTGAAGAAAGGTAAAGAGGTCATTTAATTAATCAAAGATTAATTTGATAGAGAACGAGCATCTATTGGGGCTAACTTCATCAGTAGGGAGTTTGGTCGTCTGTTCATCCGATGGAGCTTTGCAACATTTACTCCTGCTTTAACTCAGAGAGAGAGAGAGTGGTCTCCAGTGTGTCAGGATTTGGTGCCAGACAGAAGACAATTTGGAAGGAGAATTAGTAATTATGTATGGATAAGACGAGACCTGGTCACGTTTGTCTGCTGAGTGAGAGAGGAAGAGGAGGGGAAGCAGGAGTAAATGTGGTTGTGGTAAACAGTCAGTCACCAGGAGACTGAACCGAGAACTGAAAGCTTCAAAGTTGGCAGTTAACAAATCACTGCCTCGTTTCTCCAGATGCATCCTGTCTCTTCTAAACAAGCTACAGTTCCAGCATTTTGGATCAGCGGCTGTGACTGTGGCGGTGACTTGACCTGAAGTGTGAGGCTTCATATTGTTTCGTTCAGGTGTTTGGATCAGAGTGATGGGAATGTTGAAAAAAAATCTCCTATATCTAAAGCTAAATAAACCATTTAAAACCGACGCACAAAGCTGTGCAAAGCAGCGCTGTTTGTTTGTGAGCTTGTGAGAACATTCACAGCGTTTTGGAGAATCTTGGTTTTCACACAACTGCAGACACGTATTTATAGAAAGAGAGAAACTGAGACAATATTTATTGAATTCTGCCACAGAGTGATTTCCTGCCTCTGTCTCAGAAATCAGGCTTAAGCCTCTGAACCCGAAGCAGTTTTCTCCTCTTAGATTTTCACTGTTTGCTTCTTTATCACTGCAACATAAAGTCCTGCAGCCCTGTGGCTCCACCACAGCTTCAAGTAGAGAACTCAAAAATGTCTTCTGCACAGAACAACAAAGTTATAATGTCATAAAAGCTACAATAAAAAACACCAACTGAATTTATTTGATCATTTACTATCCAAAAATTGAAAAAAACTGGAATTAGCATGTAGAACATTTTATTTTCCAGTGCCCACAGGAGTCATCAATACTGGAAAAAATGTGACTGAAGTAAAAACGAATAATTTACTATTTCAGTTTGTTTCCATCTTTGTCTCCGATCTGTTCAAACACAGTCTGCAGTTTAGCCCAGTTCAGCTGAAAAGTTTTTTATCACATGACTGTCAGTCTGTCAGCTGAGTCACTAGCAGCTTCTCAGTTATGCTGAGGAGTGCAGAATTTTTAGTTTTTTACAGAATCTGTTGGGAGCAAACTGTTAATTTTTGCAAATGTTTTACATGACACACGTTAAATCAAGTGCCTGATGAAATATCATGATTCGGAGCTTTTTCCTGGTGGAATAACACAGACGAGTAGTTCTACAACTGTGAAACTCTGATGATTCTTTATGCTTTTACAGTTTCTGACCTTGACAAATGCTTTTTAAAGATAACACGACTTTCAAACCAGCTGGCGGGTTTTGGGGATCAACGTGTTCATGTTGGTGAGCGTTTCTTACCGAGCAGGTGCGTCCAGATGTTTCCCGTCTCTGTGTGAATTCTAAAGATGCTCTTGAAGCAGGCGCGAAAAGAAGGCATGGGCGGCCTGTGGCCATGAAGCAGGAAGTCGTTGTCCTTCAGCCAATCTGGGAGCACGTCGTGAGGTATGACGCGCCACCGGCCCTCCCACACCTGATTGGTTAATAAAGGACATAAAAACATCTCAAGTCGGGAATAAGATCCTGGAGGCTGGTGGAAAACGTTAATGAGAAAACCGTCTCTAATCACATTTAAATGTTCCTCATGAGCTTCAGCAGCTGGTTGTTTGCTAAACGCCCTCAAAGCACGATGTGTGTGTGTGTGTGTTTACGTGTACAGTATGTGATCACGAGTGTGTGTAGTCTAGGTGTCAGTGTCAAATGAACAGTATCGGGGTCAAGTGATGTAAATAAATAAAGTGAAGCCTGATATGGTAAACACCCCCGACACCGAGAGGAGAGAGAGAGGAGCCTCTGACAGTTTCTCTCCAGTGATTAATTCTCCTAATTTACAACCTGCTGTTTGCAATTTCAGCAGACTCTCAGTGTGTGTCTGCAACTTCACTGAGTCCATAAAACTGTGTTCCAGCAGTGTCTTCTCAAAAACAGACCAACTCTTAATGTCTGCAATGCCTACTTGTTTATTTCAAAATATCGTGACATGCAGGATGAAGAGAAGCCCTACAGGACGTGAACCGGCACCTCAGATGTTCTTGTGAAATCCCTCAAAACCACAACTATGTTCAAACAGTTTTTTGGCAAAGTGAATTTCAGAAGAATGCGCTGGCTTTATTAACTTTGCATTCTTAAACTACACAGTAAAACACGGTTTTCTCTGGCAAACTGGCTGATTTCCACCACTAGCTGCCATGTGTTTTGGACTTTTTCCAGTTTGGTTCATGACTTATGAAACACAATCAATAAAGTACAACTTTGGAGAAAAAAAATGAAAGTGAAGTTTGTTCAGAACACAAAACTCTATCTTTGTTGGTTTTATGGTTTTATTGGTTTCCTTTAGTATGTGGCTTTATTGAGTATTGTTACACAACCCCCCTTTGCAAAACAAACTTAGTTGATGTGGAGTAGTACTAAAGGTGCGGTGCTTCGAAACATCTGCACGGACAAGTTATAGGGAAGGATCGAGGGGAAATAGGTGTTTAAGTATTTATGTGTTCCCTACCTTGTGTACAAACTCCTCCATCCTCTCCATGGCATGATGAGCTTGCAGCAGCGGGGTCATTCCCATGAAACCTTCATCGCTGCTCCTCTCATCCTCTTCCTGCTCTTTCTCGTCTCCTTCTCTTCCTCTGCCGTCCTCTTCGTTTATCCGTCTCTCCTCATCGCACTCTGGGACGCTCTGAAAACAAACAGACACAACGTTAGGAAAAAAAAGACTTTACAGGACTGGTTGTTTTGCTCTTGTTCAAACAGTCTGAATTTCTCTCAGCTTCATTCAAAAGTGGAAGTCGGAAGAGGTGACCTTTAATATGAAGCTACTTTGAGAACATGGCAGCCACTTCAGACATGTGTGTGCCTCTATTGATCCAAGCTTGCATAATTCTTCCTCTCACATGCAAATGAAATCCAGCATGACAAGTGAACTTCCTGCCAGGTTCATTATTGATCCTTTTGCATAACCTGCGGTTGACCAGTGGTGTCTGACAGGCTCATCTCGAGGGTCATACGACAACATAGACTGTGAAATAAGATTTCATTCTTGGGAAAATCGCCTTTGGCTGTAACTATGTTCTTCACACCATGACCTCAATAGACTATGAATTGAAAGAACCTGTTTGTTTATGTGTAGTTATGCTGTAAATGTAATTAAAGGAGAAATCTCTAAAAGAAGCATTCTCAGTGTTTTTGAATTATAATACGCCCCCTTAAAACAGATCAAGATCGACTTGTGACCTCCTCTAATAAGTGTAATATGTACTAACCTATAAATGACTTTGCCTTCTGAGATGTCACATTTCAAAACTGGAGAAACAAACCTTCCTAACATAAGCAGCAGTTACAGAAAGACTACAAAATAAACACAGTCTTTGGTATTTTTATTTTTTTCTGTCCTTGCAATCATCTCACAACCACACAGATTCATCTTGAGAATCTTTTCGAGGGTCCTGAATCCAAGGATGTTGTAAATGTGCGCAAGAAAAAAGTCAACACAAAAATATTAGGAGGAGTAGTGACTAAGAAGTGAATTATGACGCTCGCTGCTGGTCGTTTGTGCTTTGTTATCCAACCAAAATCAGATTATTAGAACTGTTACGAGCAAAATAACAAAAACACAGAGTATATTTCAGGAAAACAGAGCTAATTTTTATTGAACAGATGTCGACGCTGTCTGTCGAAGCTCCCATTTATAAATGGAAGCTTCGACAGACAGTGTGAATTCAATCTAACACAATAGCTGTCACAGCTGGGGAGCCGGAGACAGAATTAATACGGCTAGTGCTTTGTGATAAATACACAGTCATTCATCATAACTGACACACAAACAAACAGTCACACACAGACCCACGCAGAGTTAAGCGCACACAGACGCACTCGTGTTGTGTGTGGATTCAGGTGGAAAAAATTGATAAGGATTTCGCATGCAATAAAACATGCAGCCAGTTTTTCCTCTTTTCTTTCTTTCTTTCATGCCAAATCAGACAACCTCCTCCATACACACACTACGTTCTTCTGAAATGATTAGAAAAGATGTGCCTTCTGTTCATCTGATTATTACAGAGGAGGAGAAGGAGGTGAAGAACAAAGGAGAGACAAGAGTGAGGAAATTAGAAAAAAAGCAGTAAGACAGAGATAGACAGGAGAACAAGAGAAGTGCAGAAAGAGAAGGAAAGAGAAGTCCTGTTATATATATAATGCATGACTAACCCATTTTTAAAGACCCACCAGGCAAAATACACTGCAACAGCGTGGTCCCTGCTTGTGTGAGTGCGTGTGTTGACCGTGACGTGTCGCCCGTCGACGTTCACTTTCGGGTTCCTGAAGTATGTTTGTCTATCTGTCTGCACGATGTGTGTGTGTGCAATAACGCGTGAGGACAAATCTCAGTCTGCTGCAATGTATAGAAGACGCAGACACGCAGAGTTTCCATCGCACCTGAAGCAACTGTAAAACCACATCCTAATAAATCCACTGTGTTTCAAAGCTGAGATAAAGGTGGCACCTGACATCGATTGTGTGTGTGTTAGGGGGGGAGCATCGGTGATTGAGTACACTATGTGACTGGAGGGTATCTGGGTGAATGCCAAACAGTCACGTGTGCTCTGCGGTTTTGAGTGTGTGTGTGTGTCGGTAATAACCTCTCGTGTGTGTCCGTACATGCGTGTAATGTAGGTGTAGGCTTAAATCCAGATGCTACCAGTCTCGCTGTGGCTTGTGAGGTTATTCCTGAAGAGTGTGAATAACTGAACAACAGGATGTCCTCTATTCAAGATGCCATCACTAAATTTGTGCCTGCAGAGAAGCCAGTGTATGTACACACACATACACACACGCACGTATATTCTCACCTGCATAGATGATACTGGGACAAATGATGCATGGTGACGCACTCGGATGCACAACATGCACGCTGCTATTTCACACAATATGTGCAAAAACAACAGGAGGGCATCTGCTGCACTGTAACGGTACAAATGCAGCCACTATACTGACTACTATCAGCCATACATGTAGAGCAGGCAGCACATTCAGTATTTACTCAGTGGCAGCTTTAAACAGGAAATATGTTACAAGGTGATGAGGAAATAATTCATCTACAATATGTCATAATAATATGAATTCTTCGGGGTTGAGACATGAATTTGACTTAAAGCAATGCAGCCATATGGTCATGTTTAGCAAGCCGCTGTAAGAATTCTTTGCCAGTTTCTTACAGCTTTTTAATGCCCAAAGATTCATCAACTAATTGAAAAATATCTTAATCACTAATGAATGAAATTGTAAGTTGCCGCCTATGATTGAAGTATGTATTCAGCAAACAGCCAAAACAAAGTGACAACAAAAAATCTGTCACAAAAGACATTATGGAGAATTTTAGTTTTGTCTACTAAACACTCTTGCAGCTTAGTTTAATTTTTGTCATGTGACTGTCTAAAAATGTAAAATAGAAAAACAATAACAAGTCTTTTGAGGTTCAGAGGGTTTTTAAGGGTGTTTTTTCATTGCAATCTGGCCGTCTATAAACCAAATAAAAGGTGGTGAAAAGGGGTGATTGTAAAGAGGAAGTCATTGGTGTCAAAACATATTCACTGCAAAGAAACACTGGAAATGAAAACATGAAAGTGACCAGCTGTCAGCTCGAAACAAGAAAAAGAAATCACGTTTCCCCTGCAAAATGTCAATTCAGCTGTGCTAAACTCAATCCAGACCGTGAAAGCCACAGAGCTGAGGCTTAGCAGCAGGTGATACGGAAGGTTTGGCTGCCGACTGCTCAGCTGAAGTTGCTGTAATCAGATCCTACAACTCAAAGAGATGATTCAGAAGGGGAGAGTGAAGAGAAATAATGTTCTTGGAAATCCGGGCTATCCCTCACTCGCTTTCAGTGACACACACACTCACACACACACACAGCTTTGATATTGCAGTATGCTAGAAACACGTGACTCAACCTCAGCTGCCCAGTCTCTCCAACAAGTCATCATGGCAGAGGTTGTGGAGTCCAATTTCGCTCACTATGGAAGTGTGTGTGCGTGTGGTCAAAGATATGATCCCATCCCTCTGGGAAGCGTCCATCCTCAGCTCGGGGAGCTCACGATATAACAGCTCATCATGTATGAAGCGAACAGTCTAGAGGTCAGTGCAAACAGGCTGTCTGTCTCACACTGTCACATGTGCTCGCTAACCACCACCTCAGTTGTCGTCATACTTTAGCAGTGCAGTGTTCCTACTTTTCTTGGAACAAATTTCCTAGGAATCACCAGAGGGACTCCCTTCAAACAGAATGTACGAAAAACACAAAGATTTGACAACATGTTCAGCCGGTTTAAAGGGCAGCTAGACTCATATCAAAGTGAAAATTTGACCTTTGGGGGAGTTTGGAGGAACTCTACAAGTACACTGCTTTAATGCATGCGTGTGTACAGGTTTGTGTACATGTAAGCATGTGTGTGTGCAACTGGCACAGTGTGTGTCTGATAAGGAGTGTAAATAGACTTATCAGTGCGCAGCAGGCACACCCGGAGTTTAGATGATACAGTTGGATGACTGTTATTTTAATGTTGTAATCGGTTTTTTAACTAATGGGAAAGTAGATGAAGAATAAAGTGAAAAGGTTAATATAGTCAACATGATAATTGAAGACTCTTAAGTTATCCGTTTAACATAAAATGACAAAACCCTGGTACAGGGGCAATCAAATATGGGGATGGTGTCTCTAGCTTTGGCTCAAAGCCTGGAAAAAAGAGCAAGACTGACTATACCAGGATTATATAATAGATGTTTTATCAGTTATTCATTTTATCGCTGACATGAAAGTCTGATTGTGTAAATTATTCAGATTGATTCTGTTTACTTTTGGACCTATGTGCTCTTATCTAGATCTGATCACAGATCACAGATGTACAGAGCAGGACAAAGTCCACAGTAACTATGACAGCAGAGGCTTCCAGCACTTCTCACATGAGCTAAGAAGCCAGTCTGGGATGATATACAGACACAAGATCAAGAGGAAATCCCTTGAGACTCTGATCTGCTTGAGATTAAATGAGGCCGTTTTTCTTAAAAGTCCCTAAAGACCAGTCTCCTCCTCCTCTGTCTCACACACATACACAAAAAACACATATGCAGCTCCCCTCAGACTCATTAGCTATTCTGTATGTAGATCTTCCTAATGACTTTCACCTGACTAATGACTAGTCACATGCACACACACACCTGAGACACGTGCATACCGAGTGTGTTGGGACGAATCCTGTGCTCCAATTAGTTGTTTGGCGCTCTACATTCAGCTGGATGACGATAAGCCTGACGGGGGAGCAAAGGAGGTGAGACTTTTGAGGAAAAAAATCTCATCTTCCTCCAGTGGAACTTTGGACTCAATGTAAACATAGTCACATGCTGACTGTACAGCTGTGGGCGGGATCCAGGAAACAGCTGCCAACCAACAGGAACACAGCTGAAAATCCTTGGACCAATGGCAGCGGAGTCTGAATGTGCAACAGACGAGAGAGAGGAGCGCTCACCCTTGTACACCATAACCCCTGCACAGCACGGAGAGATTCAACATGTGACTCACACATGTGCAATGCTCCTTTGGGACAATAACAATTTAGAAAAGATGCCAAGACCCTTAAAAACACACGGTATGTTCCAAAGGCACATTCATGCAGAGTCAAAAACATAAACTGGGCCCTGGTCACCACGAGACAGGCTGTTCTCTCTGTTTATGTTCGTGATGAGGGCATGAAAGATCAGTGTTAGGACAGGAACAAAGTGACAATGTTACCAAACTGTTCACAGTTGGAGCGCTTAAATCAAGGGTCTTTATTTTCTCAAGACACTTTAAAGTAGATTTTTGTGTTGTCTTGCCTCATTGGACAGAGAACGGGCATCAAACTGGGCTTCACCTGCAGGGCTGGGACATTTTAAAAATCAATGGAGCATGTGATAGGCGCCTGGACGTCAGAATTATGAGTACGGATTTGTTCCCTACAATGTCCGTGGGTTTAATGCATTATAAGTACGGAGAATGCTGGAATAACTTTATGATTGTGATCATGGACGACAGGTACAATAAGAGGAAGTAAAACTTGATGTCACATTAACCGGAGATGCGTGAAAAGCAATAAAACCCAGCACAAAGAGAGGATGTGCAAAGGACTCAGAGGTCCAAGATCGTGTGCACTATTCACTGGTATTTGTTCTGTGCTGCTGTTGCTGTTGGAATTTCCTTTTTTTATTGTTGTCAATATTTGTGTGTGTCTGCAATAAAAATCCTCAGTTTGCATTCTTGGCTGACCCTTTCTTCTACTAACTCACTTTGTATACACACCACAGGTTGAGTTAGTTTCAGGGTTTCTTGTTGTTTCCTCTGATAGAAATCCTTTTAACATTCTGAACCCCAAAACCTGTCAGAAGGTTTGACAGGCGTGTTGTCATTTAAAAAGAAGAAAAAAAAAAAGAAGCCAAAATTACAGTCAGATTTTAAATTTTTCTATGATCCTTGAGCAGATCATATGTGATAATCGGTTTCGTGGGAAAAACAACCAGATGTAAGTTAAACATCAGGATTTCATCAAAATCCCTCTCAGGTCTCATTTTAAAATCAGATTACTTTATGCTGTAAAAAAGAGACAAAGCCATGATTGTCATAACTGCAAATAAGTCCACAGTGAAGAAAAATGTGTGTTTATGTCTAAAAGCTGTTTGGGTTCCAGAGGGTTACAGGACAGGATAATGTTATTAGGGATGTGCACAACTAGCCACCTGAACCAAACATTACTCCCCTTACTCGTCAGCACCTGAAACACTAGATGGTTAAACATATTATTAATATTATATTAATGTACAACAACTTCTAACTACTGTGTAAGTATCACAAGTGTGACAGATGACATCTCGTCAAAGCAGTAGGGTTTGGCTGCATTTAGATTTAGGAAATGAAAATAAGGTTTTGCCGGAACAATCTGGCACATAACCAACCAGCAAAACGCGTAACCACATTGAGCACAGGCATGTATACTTTAACCACAAGGCTGATGGAGCTTGCACGACTGTCGTTAGCCACATTTGACAAACCAGTAATATATGTCTTACTCACAGACGATGGATAGATAATGCAGCTCATAATGACTGTGGTACAGGGGCTCAAAATGATCCCAGTCTGGAGCACAACCAGGGCTTTCGTACTTTTAGACTCGTCAACAAGTCTAAAGTTAAATTTCCATTTAATCAACAGGGAAATTAGTCCCTAGGAACATCCCTAAATGTTATCAGATTTTATTGGGTTCTTTGGCTATCTTTAGTTCTCAATGGGGTCTTTACTGCTCTCCACTGATAACCTAATTTTCATTAGTTGCAATTGAACCTCACTGACCTAACAGCTAATTCCACACAAAATTCTTCCAAGTCTTAATTACCTGAATTGAATTAAATGATCTATAAAAGACACCTAATTGAACTTTAATAGCACTGGAAGTTTGGCACTTTAGTCTTAGTTTTAAAGGCGCCATCATGATGAATTTTAACTCTAACATCAAATACTTGGTGCAAAGGTAACAGGGTGAGGCTTTTGGCAGGTAGAACGCTATTGTTTCAAAACTCTTCTCTGGAACTGCTGGGTGGGATCAGGAAAGCACTCAAATACCAGAATACCACAGGGAAAAGTTCAAAAAGGTCTAAACAGGAAAAAAAATAAACATGGAGAATGCAACTCTGTATAAAAATCATAAATAAAACATGTAGATCAAATTGCCAAACAAGGAGACAGAGAGGCATCTGATTCAGTCTGATGGCAGGAAGTGTGATACCAACCCCAAAGCTTTACCACACACTCGCATCTTGAGACGCACGCTAACACCTACGCAAAATGCTGAAAAATTCAAAAGGTGGCCTGTGGGGTGTTAAGATAGTCTGCCCTTGTTGACTGGGGCAAGGGCCCCTAACGCCTTCTAAGGTATCCGTGTTGTGTTACAGCAGGTAAAAAGGCTGAACACAAACACACACGCGGGCCGACACAATGCGCACACACAAACACTATTGTGTTTCAGCTCTCTGCTGATTGCCTTTCACACTGAACAAAAGAACAGCAGCTCTGACTGCATGCGCACACGCCAACTAAAACAGAACACCAGAGAGCGAGAGAGCGTCTAGCACGTTTGTTTGATCAGTTCGATAGGTTGCCTTGACGGGATGCTTTTCACACACGTTTTTGGTAATGTGCTAGCTTTCCTTCCGGGAAGACGCCCGTATATAGTCATAACACGCCTATTTTTAGAGTTGTGAATCTTGTACACATTCAATAGCCACCATCACTTTAGATTTAGAGAGGAGCTAAAACTGAACATCGGGCATGCGCTGAGCCGAGCCCATCATGATGCACTGCTAATTGCTGTAGCACAAGATGACTCATCATCGAGTTTGAAAAGCCTTGAAGGTGGAGAGGGTGTCGATAATAAAAGGAGGCGGTGGAGGGTGAAAACCTTGGGAAACAGGCTCATGATCAAACCGTGCAGAATCCTAGTTCCAAGAAAAAGCTGGTGAAACCTGATCACATAACGCTCAATTCTCCATCAGCAACTTTGTGTTTCTTAGGTGCCCCCAAGCAAGGCACTAAAGAAGCAACTGTTCTAGCTAGAGTGCTCAGCTATGGTGGTACATAGATTACATTAAAGTTTGTCTAACGAACTGTTCGTAACCTCATCTTGTGCTCTTTTTTATTAACTGTATTTTTATGTAGTCAAGCTCACAAGTTTTCATGGCTGTTTTGCGGACAGACATGAGTACATTGCTTCTGTCTTGCATTTTAGTGCAGTTCACTGGAAGGGCGACGATGCACTACTTTGACTCTTGCATCTTTCACTGTTTTATGTACTGAACTGTTTGTTTTAATGCTAAAATGTTAAATGCTTTAAGGATAATCTCCCCCAAATTAAAATTAACTAATCATACAGTACTTTTAAAAACCCACTTAATTTGTGCTTATATTTAAAGTGCCAACTTTAAAAGAGAAGCTAAGTTATCTTCAAATCTTCAATAAGCATAGCATTTATCATACTTGATTTTTGATCTGTGCTAACATATTAGATCTTCAAAAGGTTGGAGTACGCAAACAAAGGCACCACACTGTGGGCATGTGATTAACCCGCAATAGTAATTACTCTTTTTAATCAATGTGCTTGTGTGTATGTGGTGTGTGACTCACTTTACTTTGTGTTTATACACTTGATAAACCCCAGTGTGGGTGCACGTTTTTATCACAGGCTGCTTTGTAAATATATGTGGGTGTAAAAATGTGATAAAAAAACTAAATTTACATTCAGGTCTTTCACTGAAACTGTTAAAAATAAATGTTTACTAGTTTATAGCTTATGCCTTGTGTTTTTGTTTTTAAACCGACAGACTGGTCAGCATCACTTACAGAATATTATACTTCCCTGTTAACAACACCTATTAAATTATACATGTGAGGGTGTGTGCTTTGGTGAGACACTTTTCCTGTTTGACCGGTCGACCCACACTGCACCACATGGCCCTGAACCAACCAGACGACAGCATGTGTGTGTCAGACACTCACCCCATTGTGTGAGGGGCACTCTGCGGTGCTGAGGTGACTCGTTGAAGAACCTGAGGTGGCCGTCTCTTCTTTCTCCCGCGGACTCATGGGATCTGTAGGCGTGCGCTCTGTGGCGTTTTCTATGAGATTTGAAGTTCTGTGTCGCAGCACGAAGGCCGGGCCCTCGGCCGCACTCGTCTCTCCTCCGTCCAGCTTGAAACGCTGGACTGGCCTCCACCAAAAACTGAAATGAACTCGGCCTGGACCGGACACGAGGCTCTTGGATGCAGACGAAATCTGGCTGTGACCAAACCTGATAGGACCAAACAAATATGGGTGGAAGCTGAAGAAGATGAAAACTGATGCGAGCAGAAAAAGATAAAAATGGTAAACAGAAGACCAACCTGGACTCCGCAGAGAAGGCTGAAGTCTTTAAACCAGACTGACACTTGGACTCAGGACTTTATGGGACAACACCGGAGGGAGACTGCAATTAGGAAAGAGACAGAGAAAGAGAAAAGAGAAGAGAAGACAGAAAGAAAAGTTAGCCTCATTTGTTTTTTTTCAAACTTTAAATGATTTCCAATCAAAACAAAACAAAGAACCCAGACATCATATCTTTCTACATCATATATCTTTGAATCAGTTTCCAAATCAATAAAAAATATGAGCCTATAATAAACCCAATAAATGTTATCTATAAATGTCATGTTCTGTAATAAATACATAAATGCAATAAAATTCTAGATAACCTTATATACCCCAGCCAATGCATTAGAAGGCCTCATATTCTGTTTGGGTCTGCCTGCCCAGACACTAAATATAATTAGTGGACGCACCGCCTTGAAATGAAAGGTCAAAAGTTTCAGTCGTCCTAAGACACAAAGTGTCCTGCAGAAGTATCACAGACGTTCATTCATTTGAAGCACTTCAGCCCTAGAGTTAAGGACACAGCTACTGCTTTGTCTCTGCCACTTCAAAAAGTTACCCATGGTATCAAAGCCTTAAAATACAGCATCTACTAACACTTGCAGGCAATTAGGAGCTGCCAACTTGCTGTCATGGTGAGCTGCTTAGCGACAAGAGGTGTCAAGTACAGGAACAAGAGATTCACACACAGGAAATAGATGTGCTCCCTGTCGAGAACTTACAAGCCATTTTACTTTATCTTTCTCTCAGCACATCAATGTTTCTCGATACAGTTAGCGTTCTGCTTTACAGGAACATACATCGCCATATTTACAGCCCCATTTTTACAACTAAAGAAAAGAATCTAATCATTTCTGGTAGGTGAGTTGAAGCTACTTTTGATTTCGCTCTCATAAATTTCCCCAGAACGTTAAGTCTTATCCAGCAGTTGGTATATGAAACACTTCTATACAGAACAATATTTTCTAAATTCTGAGGAATTCTCAAGATGGGAACAGCAGTAAAGCTGTACAGGTATTTTCTACCTTTTAACTTTGAGCTCTACCAACACTTTCAAACATTAAAAGGAGACCTTGCTTGGTTTGGAAGATTTACTTTCCAACCCAAGTGAAAACATTTAGCTTGCATAGGGATCAGTGAACTCATATCTGCATGTTTTTCAAGCAGTATGTTTCCAAACGCTCTCCAAAGCTTTAATGTTCTGTAAAAGATGAGAAATGCAGCTGCTCTCTGTTTTCTCTCTGTGTGTCACCCTCACTGGGCTCCAGAGGGGCCGAGTCAATGTGAACGTGCCCCGCAGCACTGGACCACTTCATTTAAACTATCTCCCTCTGCTACCACACATGCGTTAGGGTATTATACCCTCAAGGGGGGAGAGAAAAACACAAAGGTATATATACATGCACGCACACACATTCATTCACATGAGAATTAACTACAAACAGACACAGTCCTCTGCAGATATCCTCTGTGACAGGGTGATGCAAGTATGTAAGTATAGAAAAAGGAAAGGCACTCATGCTGCTGGTTGTGAAGAAACATTGTCATGCTAAAAGAAGAAGGGTATAGACACAACATGCAAGAAAGAAAAAGGAAATGACCGAGAAAATCATTAGAGCCACACGAGAAAGAGAGTTTCATAACCCATGATATTGACCAGCAGACAGTGACACTACTCTACGCTGAGAAGATGATGAAGAAGACTATTTGAGCTGACTGGCCGGTGGGCGAGTTCCCAAATCGAAATCAAACACTTCTCCACGCAGAAATTGTCCAATCAATCTCTCCCCTTTTTTTCCTTTCGCCTTCTCCCCGATCGACTATTTGCGAAAATTACACACGCCTTTCTCGTGAAGCCGCGCCCTCATTTTCTGTCATGATGAAAAGTTAGATTTCACTCGGGCTTCTTATTAGCTAGAGAACAGAAGGAATAAACTACTTTTTATGGACATTTTTGCAGCTGTAGTGAGTTCCCAGGATAATAGCCGAGTGGCCTGATTGCCACACAAGAACAAACAGTTCTCCTGACAATAGAAAAAGCTGAGAAGTTTTGTGATGTGTGGTTCTGCCACTATGATAATAGTAAGAGTGAAGCACAATACTATATTTGCTGGTCTGAGAGCTGAAACATCCCATATAGGTCGGTAAAGTTGAGGGGAACTGCAGACTAAGGTGAAAATTCTCCGTCACTACGAGCTGCATCTTTCATACTGGGCCGTCACAAATATTACATACTCACCTGATTGTATTTATCTGAGCTGACCACACTATTTAGTGTAATTGTTGGATTTCTTTACTTTCATCTGTATAAAAACAGCTGGATGAAACTGACAGAAATGTCATGTCTCAATCACAATTTCCACATTGTTTTCCAACATCTGCACCAACTTCTTTTGGTATGGTTTATTGAGGCGTTTAACTTCTAATATACGGCCAAGTGGATTTTGATGAGCATATATTGAGATTAACATCATGGATTTAGTTGCAAAGTCAAACTACTGCACCACTGTGGGCACATTTTGGCGTTCAGTTAAAAGAAAAAAGAGAGTCAAATAACTTGGAGGTGGCAAGTTGTTGGATTCGCAGCCAATAGAAATGAACGGAATAAGACAGTTTAATCATTAATCACAATTATCTGTATGACAACTAATCATCAACTAAAGTCTCATGATCGTGACAGCTCTAAATACCATCTATTGATCAGCAATGTGACTTACAGATCACCACAGAGGCTAAGTATAAACCTTGCGGGCACAGAAATTAAGAAAGAAGAAAGTTAATGATAATTAATTGATGCTGGACAGCTGAAAACATCTGTAAGGCCAATAAAACTTTGTGTATTATATTTCCATTTTTCTACATCTAACTGCCTGGACAGTGAAAAACATAAACCACACGAGAGCCCACATTCATTGGCGATACCGACACAAAAGAACAGCCCAACAGTAGCAAAACAAACAGAACACACTGTCCAGACTCCATTATGAGATAAGAAAAGAAAAAAAAAAAAAGACCGACTATGATGGAATACAGGAGAGGAGAAAAAAATGATAGCTTTTACACACCAAAACCAAATGGGGTTTCCCATGGTCCACGCCAGCTTCACAGAAGTTTCAGTTCTGAGAGACCAGCTGACACAAAATGTCTGTCGACAACAGGATGCAGGGTGACTCATCAAGATGTTTCATGTTGACTAAATCTATGATCACAATTTTCTTGGCTCATAAAAGCCTTGTGAATGTTGCATACACCCCTGTTTTCCTCTATTAAAATGCCAGTGTGAGGTTCAATCAATTTCCACACTCGATCCCCATGAAACAAAGCAATCACACAGACAAGTTTACCATCTGCTTTGTTTCCTGCAGATTATAGCAGCTCAGAAAATACCGTCAACCTGACCCTCGGTGACACTTCAACCTCAGGGGCAGACGCAGGAATGAACACGGAGGATATAAACAGCAGCAGCCTGAAGGAGCCAAGCCGGTGACCTGCTGGGTAAACCTGGCCTGAGAAAGGAAAGAACCAGTGCTCTCATTTAGTATCTCTTCTGGTGAGCCCTTGAGCAACATCGCCCTTCATTGAAATTTCTCAGTGTCCACCATTCCCTGCACAGATAAAACAGAGCAGATTCTCGATCGCTTTCTGTCAGCAATATTTTAATATATGAATAAACCGTAATAGTTAAAAAGCAATAATCTTTCAGAGCACTCACTGAATCCCACTTTCAAAATTGCTATCTTATTCTCTTGACATTATCATCCAGCCCTGAGGTAACTGCAGCAATGCCATTAATACTCATTATTGTTCTTTAACCATGGACGCTATTGAGCTTTTAATATTGATGCTATTGATTTGCCCCAAAGGTCAATAGCCACAATACTGCGAGTGCACGTATCCACTACAGCTGACAATACAGTATGTGTCTAGCAGGATGTGATAACATGATGTGAAAAGGAAACAATAAAATTGGGCATTATTGATCTTTAAACATTAAAATTACAGCTGTGATGTTTGATCACAATAAACATGAGCCATCAGGTTAAAGGATGTAGATGCATTTATACGAGTTTTGAGGAATAAACATTAAAAGTCCAGCGAATTGATGAGGCAGATTTGTGCAACGCTGGAAAAATTCTTCGGCCCTGACTTTGTACTTACAGTGTTTATTTTTAGTGTAGTGTCACAGAGTACATCTTATCTGCTCTGCATGTCGCTGTCTGATGAACTGATTCCAAAGCTATGGAAAGTTTGCACAGCTTTATAAAACAACAGATGGACTTTGCTTGTTTTATTATATTCTAGCCTATTTAACAGCCTTTCTCAAAGCACTTATAGGTTCTCTACATGTAGCAGATGCTGGTATAAAGAATCATTCATTATTAGGGGAAGAGGCAGGCCTTCAGCTTCTTGCAGGGCCACTACAATGGGACCCTGAACACTATTGATTGACTTTTGGGGAGATCAAACCTGCAGCATTCTTTTCAAAAAGCAATCTCTCCAACCAGTAGATCACTGTGCCCTCAGTGTCACTCTCTTATCTGCTCTTTTTCCTTGTGCATCTTTCCATAACACTAAATTTCTCAGTGGAACAAAATGCAACGACACCCACAGAACAAACATATTTTTAGTTTTTTTAAATGCACTTTTTGGAAATATGCTTGCCTTCTTGCTGAGAACTGAACAAGCAGATCAATTCAACTTGTGTGCATATGGTATAGGAGGCTATAGCCTGCAGTCGATTAGCTTAGCTTAGCATAACAACTGGAAGGAACCCCTTCTACGATTCTTTTTTTTTTTCTAGATTACAAAATAAGATATAACCTGTTAATTATTGGCCTTTATAGAAGCTGATAGGTGATAGATTTAAGTTGAACACATCAGTTCATGCAGATACCAAATCTAACTCCCAAATTATGTTAGACAAAGCTATGCCCTATGGCGAGTACATGTCAACACACTAACATTAGCATGGTAACAGCCTGCAGGTCACTTATTCACAGGCATGAGTCCTGCATTCCCTCATACTCTCTGTAACCATCTAACTCTTTGTCTCACAAA